CAGCGCTAACTGCGACAACTTCCAATCATATTCCACCCAAAAAGGTTTTAGTTTTTAGTCCTGTTTTTGGTCTTTGTTGTATCCATCCATCCATCCATTATCTTTGCCAGCTTCTTCCTTTCAGGGTCACGGTGGTCACTGGTGCCCATATCCAGCAGTCATAAAAATATATGTTTATATAAATATTGTCACTTGTTTTCTAAGATTTACCCTAAAGAGAGGTCTATGTGACAGGAATAAACACAAAAAGCACATCAAATAAAACAAAAGACATAACTCTGGAAACAAAAGAGGTAAGTGATGGGGGAAAAGCAGAACTCCCATGAAGACCCAGTTGTTCCCACTTCGGTAAAATGTTCCTGTAATTAAAATCATACATTCCATGTTCTGATTAACTCCTCAAAATGTAGTGAGTGCCTTCTGGGGTCAACAACAAAGCCTGGGCCTCATGTGAATGTCAGATGTGGCAGCAGATTGCTTTGTTGTGTCTAAGAAGCAAATGTTTGGGCCGTGAGCTCAGTGCCAGAGTCCAGACAAGTATAATGTGTCTCTTTTGTCTTACTGTCTTAACATGCAACGTCTTGCTGTTTTACAGTGTTAATGTTTCAGGTTGTAAGTTACAGCATTTTGCATAATCTCATTGTGAAAGCATAACTCTACTTGATGTTTAGCGTAACAACTAATGATGAAATTTATGTGTATTTTCTTGCATTTCTTAACATGCAAGCAAATGTTGCTTATGGCCAGTGTTTACTCCTCTTTAGGGACTGCAGGTGCCTACATCTGTTAGATTACAGCAATCACATGGAGGGACAGACCACTTATAATCTATTTAACTAAAAAAAAAAGAGCACAACATCACATTTGGTCCACAGCATGAAGATCAGGTATGTCAAGCTCCTTTCACCGAGGGCCACATCAGCATTAGTGACGCCCTCAAATGACCAATTGTTTTATATTGTATTAATTATAACACAAAATGTCACGTTCTTTGCTATTAGCTGAGCTCTACATGGTATTTCCTGCATAGAAACAGCGTTCTAACAAATCCTCTTATAAACACTGAAAAGTACTACAACTGAATAATTGTGAACTAAATAATACAAAAACAGGATTAAAAGTAAAAGACAGTTCTACTCACTGTTGAATTGTGGTAACAGCTGCCATCCTGAATTCAAAATTCTCCCACTTTCTGACAGGGAATTCTCACCAGAAGGGGCGTTCCAGTTTAAATTTATGAGTTGTAAGTGGGAAATTCCCCCTTCGTGGTACAACTGGGTCACAGCAAAAGTAGCTGGCAAAAATGCAGCGAAATTGAGATTTTACAAGCAAATTTCGCCGGCTACTTTTGAATCTCGTGCAGCTTCACCTAGTGGTGGGATGCCATCATTTCGTGGGTAAAATAATCAACATGCATTATGGGAGATGTAGTTCATGGTCAATATTGACTTTAAGACCTTAATACATCTTTGAAGCACTCTCAGACCACATTTAGCCCACGAGCCAATGAGCTGTAACCTGGTTACTCACAAAGGAATCTTATTGTTCCCCCTAGTGAGTCTGCTGAAAGTTTAGTTGCTGTAAATGTCCTGTTTGCAAAAGGAGGATTTATTTTGTGGACAATTAATTTTTTTAACCTATTGAACAACTTCAAGCTTGAGTAATTGTGATGTGAGCAATTCACTTTGGTCTCTTGAGTAATTAATTTCAAATCTCAACAAAAGTTTAAACCATTCCTTTAATATCCAAGCGCTCCTCACAACCATTTTCACCAATTGTTTCTCAAATGCACCTCTAAAAATCAGGAGAAATTAGCTGTATAATGTGTCTTTTAGATTGTGTTTTTCAAATCCACTGTGAACTGACAGAGTGTTTGACCTCTGACTTCTTGAAGAAATTGATGGGATATGCCAGATTTGTCTCTAATGATTAGAGTTGAGCTGTGTTGCATCAAGACGGAATGGTAGGCTAGGAGGAGACCCCAGGGAAGACCCAGGACATGTTGGAGAGACCCTCTCAGCTGACCTGGGAACAACCTGGAGTCATTCCAGAAGAACTGGAAGAAGTAACTGTGAAAAAGGGGCCTCCTTGATAAAGCAGCTTCCCACAAGACCTGACTCTGGACCAGGAGGAAGATGATGGATGGATGGATGGATGGATGGATGGATGGATGGATGGATGGATGGATGGGTTGCGTTGAACTGAATGGTGCTAAATCTGTATGAGTGGTCTATGAATGTAACAGGACATGTAACATATAAGAGGAAATCATTCATTGGCAGACTTTTCTTTTTTCTTTTAGGATTTAAGCGGCCGTTCATCGTTTTGTCGGACATGTTTGTTTTATCAGTTCAGACCCAACAAAGATAACCAACATCTGATCTATTTGAGCTGTGATTGGATGATAAACATCCAGACGGATTTAAATGAACTGACCGAGCCACTGAAACTTGAATCTATATTTGTATATCCTGCTATATGACCATTGTTCATTGTCAGCAGTTTTGTGATAAGTATCTATCTGATGCTGCAAACGGGAATAACAAATTTAGGTTGTCAGGAACAATTTCACACCTGTGCACAGATAAACTGGTCTAAAATAAGCACATAGACGTAGACAGAAAAAGAAACATTTATTTGTTGCTCTGCAGATAAGGAAGTTGTTCTTGCATCATTTAAATCTGATCAATGCAATTAAGACATAACTTTGTCCACATTACGATATAAATATGGGGAAACTGTAACAAGACTGTGAGCCACAATAGAGGTGTTTTTTTTCTACATGAGACGTTGGCCTAAGGGGTGCTGGTGCATCAACCCACACAACAGACTCACATGCACTGACAACTCCATGTCAAAGGTATTTAAACATACACAAATCTCGCAGAGATGTATCTCCATTAAGTTACCTTGGCCAGGTGATGCAGCTTAAAAGCAGCCCAATCTGGCTCTGTTAAACAAATAGGAAGCCCCTACAAAGGTGTGCGAAAGAATTTGCATGATCAAAGTAGGTGAGAAAGACAGCCTTGTCCTGGCCTGGCCATTATCGGGCCCCATGAATGGCTGTCTTCTCCTCTTTTGTTGGTGGGGCATTGACAGTCACTCACCCGGCAATGACTGTCACACCAGCGCAAAGAGCCAGCTGCCGACGGGGGCCGACCACATCAAACGAGGCTGTCAAGGGGCCCTGCTTGTGAACTGTGGCAACAAACACCTCCTGATCCTCACCTAAAGCTCAGCGGCAGACACCCACCGCTGTGCTCCCAGCCTCGGCCTCCGCTGAGAAAAGATGTACTGCCCAGACCTCATTTCCTCCTCTGCTCCAACCCTTCTCCCCGTCTCCCTCTCTGTCAAGTAGTGCTTGTGTTAACCTCCAGCCTGTCGGAACATAAAGGGCCGCTAAAGTGTTTAAGAACGCTTTATGGGTGCATGACAAGGTAAGGCTGGCACTGCTGGGGGTCAGAGAGTGTACAGGATGTTAATGAGATACATTCGGGTTTAATTTCAATTTGGACCAGAGTCACACTTGATTTCAACTTTATAAGGTTTGAACTTTAAAAAGTCAACTAATAAGAGAAAACGATATATTTCGACAAGCTGCGACAGGTACTTTGGCCTGGGTGAAGATCAGCTTTAATTCACATGACTGGCAGTAAATGAAAACTCATGTTCAGGGATTTTTTTTTCTTCCTGGGCTGACGAGATGTAAATGATCAGATGAGGATTTTAAAATAAAGTGTACCAAACCAAATATTATAGAAGTTCTGTGAAAACATATTCAGATCTGTTTTGTACTCTGGCAATTCTGAGATTCACATTCTTTCCTAAAAAAAACATTTTTGCAAAGGTTAGTGGTGTACATGCCTATGTCATTTTTAAAACATGCAATTGGTAGTCATCACCTTTAGATGGTCACAGTTTCTCCTTGTGCATTGCTCCCACAGACCAAAAATGTGCATGTCAGGTTAATTATGTAGTAGCTCTAAATTGTTCCTAAGTGAATGGTTATGTGTCTTAATGTGTGCCTATGATGGACTTGTGATCTCTCCAGGGTGTCCCCTGTCTCTTGTGACTGCTGGACATGGGAACCAGTGACACAGAAATGGCAGCGGCTGGTTTAAAATATAACACAAAATTGTAGCAGGTATTACCACAACTGTGCAGAGTGTAGAAAAATGATAATGACTCGGTTCATGACCCATGAACAAGATGCAAACATTTGTTTTTCTAAAACTATTATGTGCTGTAGTTGGTTGGTTTGTTGGATGGATGGATGGATGGATGGATGGATGGATGGATGGATGGATGGATGGATGGATGGATGGATGGATGGATGCTTTATTGATACATTGCAGAAAATTACAGGTTCACAGCAGCAGCAGTCGTGTCCCACACAGACAACACCATCAATAAGAAAACTTTACAAAAATAATACTATACTAAAGACTATAAACAAAACAAACATAAATAATTCATAAAAACACAACTTGGTACGTTTTTTAAATAACAAATATGTGACAAAACATTTTATTAAAAGCACAAGTAATTAGTTATTTTCAGATATTCACTCAACTTTTTTCAAATTAACTTCTCGTTGATTAACTGTGTGGAGACTGCCATCTGTTGGCCAAGAATCAAATAAAAAAAATAATAATATAAAAACATTAAAATTTTGTTTGTTAAACCCATAAAAGTCAGTATGTAAAAAAAAAAAGACGATTGCTTTTGTATAAGTAAAAATAGCAGTTATTCTGTGAAGATTCACCCCTAAAATAAAAGCAGAGGGAAATCATGTAAATTAACACAGTGTGAGTCATAACTTAAACATTTATTGTATTTTATAATTTAAAATGTAAAATCCATCATTTTGTTCGGACTCGCTCGGTGAAACATTTTAAAATCTTTTAAAGCCGTGACGTCTGCATCGATTTATCTGAGTTCTCCTCGTCACGTCTGACAAATCGATCATCTCCGCTCGCGACCAGCTTCGTCTGTTTCATGATGGCCGCGGCCTAGTGCTGGGAAGTAACGCGGTTATTACATGTCACCATGTCCCTTCTGAGAGCGTGTACCTTCATTAAATGCTTCAGTCGGCGCAGTTTGGTGAAAAGATGTGCTGTTGACCGGTCTTCTGCAGACTGTTGCCGGCTGTGTTTGTCTTTGAGAAACGGCTCAGTCAGACGGATATCAGGTGAGGTAAAGCAGGAAAGTTGTAGCGATAATGTTACGTGATAAACAAATTTTTATCGACTTTCATCGAAAATTCTTGTGTAAAAAAACTTTTCACATTTCAACTGAGTCACATGTAGTTTTAAACAGTTTTCTTTAGCCTGCTGTGTGAGTTACCATACCATAATATACCATACCATACCATTTATTTTTATAAAGCATTATTTAAAATAGCACAAGGCCAACTAGGCCTGTCGTGATAAGCCATAAATCACTTCATTGCATGATAAATTAAAATTAGGACAATAATAAGTGTATTAAAATGTGGGAAAATAAAGTTTTTTTTGGACTACAAGAGCTAGTCATAGTGAAAATTGTCAGCTCTTTGCTGTTGGTGAGTGGTTAAATATCTATGCAGGATGATAATCTGCAGTATTTTTTTTTAAAGCTTTTTAACGAATGATTGTTTTCTTTCTTTCTTTTCTCCAGAAACCTCGTTGCAGCTTCAAAGAAGAAGTGTTTCATTTGTATTTCCAAAGTCAGATGAAAGAAAGAAACGTGTCCTTGAACAGTCTCAGTTGTTAGACGGTACGTGTAAACTTTTTAAAAGTTTTCTACAGTCATCAGGGGCAGGGAACTCTGGTGTCAGGTGTTTTTTGCCAGGTGCATGGTCTCATCCTCTGCAGCATGAGCATGAGAGCCCCATGAACAGACATTTAGCAAGAGGAGGGTCTTTAGTTTTTCTGACACCTTTGCCTCAGGTTGCCCTCGGGGCACTTTGCAGAACCTTTTACTTAGATCAACAAAAGTTAGAGAATATAAAAAGAAAGAAAGCAAGAATAATACCAGTAATTATTAGGGATGTCCCGATCCAGATTTTTTGGCTCCCAATATAATCAGATTTTTTTAATGATTGGTCTTTCTGATACTGATCCGATAGCTTTATTTTTTCATTTCTTTCCAAGTGACAAGGTTGGTAGTATTAAAGCGAGCCCTGCTGTTCCCACCATAAGAAACATCCAGTTATCAGAGTTTGCAAGATGCATTTTCAGCATCATTGTTTTCTATTGAAAAGTGTTCCCACACTGTGGACACGGTTACATACTTGTGTGTCTTAACTTCTTAACAGCAGTTGAAAAGCATGATGATGCTGAAAACTGTCGCGAAAACTGGATCGGTCTGATCACATGACTAAATCTGATTCTACCCGATTTTCTAAAAAATGGCCACATCTGCAACCGATACAGATGCTGAGTATCTGATCGGGACATCCCTAGTAATTATTATACTGCAGCTGTGGCTGAGTGGTCAGAGGAGTCATCTTCCATTGAGAGAGTTGGCGGTTCGACTCCATTGCTTTTCAGTTGTATGTTGAAGTGTCCTTGGGCAAGACATTGAACCCACTGCCTCTGATGTGTCCCATCAGTGTATGAATGTGATTTAAGCACTGATTAGTCTCTATAGGCTGATGTATTCAGATAAGTTTTGTCGATAGACACACCAGAGTGCTGTGTGTTAGGGTATATGAGGGCACAGATGTTAGTTTAAAGCACTTTGAGGATCCTGGTTGGATAGAAAGCTGCTATGTAAGTACAGCCCATTTACTATTTAATAATAATGGTAATAGTAATAATAGTAACAACGACCAGAAACCGTAGATATGTTCACTGTACTAATACACAAAGAGGTTAAGAACCAACTCACTCAGAGTCAAAGGCCAGGGAATAATAGTGTGTGATTAAACTAGACTTTAAAACAACATAATACACTTAATGATGTTTATTTCCTTCTCAGTGCTTGAGGCAAGGATCCAGCAGCTTCAGTCTGACGCCATTTTAGATGTCCATCATGCAAAGGTGCATTTTGTTAAAGTTCCCTCTGGTGGAAAAGATGCTTCATCTAGTAGGACTCCCAGGAAAGGATCACCTCAGAACAAAAAGGACATTCCTAAATCTGGAGTGCATAAAGAAACCTCTAAAGCACAGCTCAGCCGCTGGATGGAAAAATTGTCCAAAGAGAAGAAAAACAAACTTAAAAAACTGCATGAAGTCCAGCTGACTTTCCAGAAAAGTGCCAAAGGGCAGCAAACAGTAACAAGGAGCAGTGGCGTGAAACTGCCAAAGAAAGTTAATGCTGCAGCTTCTTCATCAACCGCAGCATCTGCAGGAAGCACACCTGTGTCACATAAAGTGTCCAAACCGGAACGGAAATCCTTGGACGGCAAGAGAGCAGGAAAAGATGGCGAAGAAAAGACGATCATCAAGGAACTGCCTAACAAGGAGCTTGACAAAAAACTCAGTCAGCAACGAAGTGACAGGACACTTTCTGAGACCACAGGGGTTCCGCAAGATGGAGAGGATCGAGGTCCATGTAGGGACATCCAGCTCAGCATCCTGTCTTACCTGGAAGCGTGTGTGTTCATGGGGGACATTGAGCGGGCACAGGACTTCCTGCTCAGTCAGCACAGAATCCTGTCCCGGCGCAAACATCTCACCACGGACATGTACAACATCTTGATGAAAGTGTGGGCCAAGAAGGTAAGTTCTAACATGAAAAACTGGGACAGTGCAAGAAATGTTTAGTTACTCGACAAACTCAGCTGCACCACACAACGGTTAAATGATGTCTCAGCTTTGATCAGTAAATGTGTCTGATTGGCTGCATCAAGCATCGCTTGAGGAAATATTGTTGCGTAAAGTTGTTTTGAACGTTTTAACCATGGCTCCCTCGCGTCTTTCTCTGTAGGGTGTGTTTGATCAGGTGAGGCACATCTCTATGCTGATAGAAGAAGCTTGTCTGAAGCCAAATCTTGCATCTTACTGTGCTGTGCTCGAGTGTATGGGCCGCAATCCAATCCCCTCCCACAAAGTCACATCAAGGTACGTTTTGTTCCCCCTGCCACCCAAACAAGATTCACAATAAGCATTTGACATGTTTCCACATTTGTTCAACATTGACAAGAGCAAAGCTGTTATTTGGAGGCTGTGGTTTGAAGTTTCATAGAAAAATAGACGTAATACAGAAATGTACCAGCAGGGGGCATACCGAGGTCATATTTGGGGAAACTAGCAAGCCTCTTAAATCTTTTCTTAATGAACACCAGGATGTTGGTTAGTTTGTTTTCTGCTATTAATAGCATCAACTTAATTTTGCTATGTTTTGGCCTCTGCCAGGTCAATAACTTAGGAAGATGCTGGGTTTATAACACAATATTTAACAAGTTATCAAAAGATGTTACATGTCATGAATACAGCTGTTTATTATTCATTTTAAAAACATTTTATATACTACAAATCAGTGTTTATATTTCATAACATTTAACACAGTCTGAAAAATGAGCTTTAACACAGATAAGGTCAATGCTGTTCTGGACTTGGCTGAATCGGAAACCAGTAGGGCTGCACCGATTAGTTGAAATAATCGATGACGTCGATTATGTAAATTTGTCGACGCAGATTTTTTATTATCGATTTGCTGTATTACATAACCACCACGTGAATGTTCATGCAATTCCATTTTGGTACCTAAATGTATCATTGCGACCGTATTGGCATAAGAGTGGTGAGTTTTCCATGCTTGTCCTGAACACAGCATCGCGCAAGAGCGTAATGACGTCAGCAGCCGCTGCTTCAGTTCAGTCTGAAGCTTGAAAACAAGCCTCGCAGCTCCTGGAGTAAAATTTACCAAACAGACCGCCTCTGAATTATCTGGTGGATTAAATATCTTGTGAACATGACGTTCACTTGCTCAAAGTAAATAAAGCACCGCCACTTTCTTTATTTCATCCACCATTAAACAGAGACTGGTGTTAGGTGGAGCCGCGTTCCCCATCAGACGGTTCCCCCATCAGACGGTTCCCCCAGCGTCTCAAACAACAGAGGAGCTTCCCGACACACGTCTGACCTAAAGAGCACAAGCAGCCAACAAGTGTTGGACGTGTTTTGGATGTTCAAAACGTAGCTTAAATACCTTTTATTTATTTTAACTGCATCCTCTTTTGTTTATTTGATTTAAACATATTTGACTTCCATGGACCTCCATCACACATTTTTCTAGTGGGGAAATGACATCAATAGAAACACGTGGAGCTGGATATTAATTTGTGTAATAAGACAAAACAGTCTTGTTGTTTTTAAGAGTTTTTACCTCAAAGAAATAAGTTACACAACTGATCTTACAATACAAAGAGTTGGATGTTGTCTTGATATTTGTTAAATTTTATATATTGAGAAATATGTTAAATAAAAAATAATAAATGTTTATTATATGTTTATTATAGTTTTTCCAGAGTGACTTGAATTTTGCATGATTTAGTTCATTTGTTAGATTGTTAACATCTTAAACTATATTTCTTTTACTTTAATTTTATATGCTTTGGTTGAGATTTTATATTGATGTTAAATCTTTTAAGCTTTTTTTGTTAAAGAATTGACTCTAGAGTGCATATTTTGAGCATGAGAACCCGTAGCAATAACAAACTTTCTGAAAAATGGAAATGGAATTGGTTTCAAAGCAGAACGCGGCTGCTGCAGTGTCGGAGCAATTGCAGAGCCTGAAATTCGCTGCGGTTAGACACAGAGAGAGAGAGGGGAGGAGAAGGGGTGGGGGCTGAAACTCCCCCAGACCCGCGACAGACTCGTCAAGACTTAACCTGTAGCTCCCAAAAATAACAGGAAACTTAAACGCACCATCTGTGTTTTAACTAAACACCAAAAAGCCTGTAGCTGTCCCAACAACTCATGAGGAAAACTCTGAACTGTCTGATTTCCTCCCCCGCAGCACTCTGACTGTCCCCTCCTCACACACACACACATATACACGTTTGTTCTTCTATCCTCATGGGGACTTTGCACTGACTTTCATTAATTTACCAGTATTTTCTATTACCATTTGACCCTAAACCAAGCCTAACCTTTACATAGGATGTGAACTGGGCTTATGTCCCCATAAGAAACAGTGGGTCCTCACCAGGCTGTGTAGTTTGCTTCATCTCTAAAGAGATGCTGCTCTTTAATATTGTTTATTTACTGTCTTAGTTGTGTGTGTGGTGTTTAATTTACATTTTGTTGTTCTTTGTTTTTTTTATTCAAGTGCATTTTTTGTTAGAGACTGAGAGTCCACTTTGTTAACCAATCTTTTAAAAATTAAAGTTTATTGATTTATTGCACTTACATATTACGCTTTTATAATTATTAGTTGTAAAATGGTCACCAGGCATTATTATCGCTTATCGCAATAATTTTTGAGACAATCGCACAGCAAAATTTGTTATCGTGACAGGCCTACTTGTATTGTGTTAATCTTCCTCATCAACAGCAACCTTTGACATTTGTGTCTCTGTAGTAACTGGCTCTCTTTGACCAATCACTGATAATTATGTTCACAGACTCTCTTTGTTTGTCGCATGACATTTAGCTTAAATAAACCAGCTGGACACAGCTCTTGGCTTCAGAAGGAGATTTCATGCGTTATAGCTTGTGTGCCTGTTTTGTATCAGTTGCCATCTATCGACTGGCCTGCTGCCCAGTTAGTGGCAAGCTTCACATTGAATTTTCTTCTTATTTTTTCTTCTCAAATGGGCATACCATTTGACTAGAGTTATTATGGCAGAAAAGGCTTACAGGGCACAGTCCGTTTGCCTTCAGTTTAAACTACCAGTCAAAAGTTTGGACATACCCCCTCATTCAATGTCTCTATTCTTTTTCTCTGTTTCCTACATTGCAAATGACATATCTTCCTTTTGGACAACCAGATATCAAAATTCTGTTTGTGAGAGTCTGCTTTAGGTAGTTGTGGACATTATTTGATTTTAGTTTGCAAAGAGCAGTATTTAGTCACGTTCACTGGTTAATATGTGTTGATTGGAAAGTTTGTTAGCTGATTAATAACGTACAGATGCTGCTCACTCAGCACTGCTAGCATATGTACAAGTGGTTTCCAAACCTTTCAGGTTTTCAACCTGAAAAACAAAAGTCATAAAGACTCGTGAGCTCCTATTGCTGGTTAAAGTGCCTGTAACATCAATTTTTTTCATACAAAAATGAATGCATTTTTGTACAAAAACTTAAAAACATATTGCAAAAAGAAACCATGCCACTGAGATGAACAGTTGCTGATATATTTGCATGTGAAGTAAGAGGAAGTGATGTCAAAAGGGAATGTTTGAATGTGAACAAAGCATTGCTACAACGGATAACACAGACTGTAGACAAGAATCTGATGTTTCTTTATATCATTTTTAATCACTATCAGAGGTGCAACAATACATCTATCTGTATCAACTCAGTCAATACAGTGCTCTAGGTTGATTACGCACTTGTATCGAACAATACAGATATTTAAAATTWYRTTWARCAACTTGTCTTCTGAAGATGCTCTGTGTTGAAGGCTCAGATTTGTGTTCGACTACTCCACCTAGGCTGTGTTGTCGAGCGCAGATCCACTGAGAAACTTACGGTTTCAGCAACATTTAATTTAAAAACTGTACTTTTGATGTTAAACAAATGTTCATAATTAATTTCTATAAGTTACAAGTTAAGAAGAGCATGAAAATTTATCTCTTTTATATCAAAAAATGTTTTCTGTGACACTAAGGTATCAATCCAAATCGTGAATTTTCTGTACCGTTGCCCTAATCAGAGAGAGTTGATGATAATGATGATGATGATGATGATGCTTTTATTGTCATTGTACAGAGCACAATGAAATTACATTTAAGAACATCCATTCAAGAAGACACACCTGACAAAAACATGGGGGAACTGGTGAACAGGTCATGCGGCAACCAGCAGGGGTCGAGCTATCCTTTAAAAAGATGAAGACGAGTCAGTTATTGTTTCACTAACAAAGACCAGGGATTCCTTTTTTTTTAGAGTTCCGCTTTGATGTCACTTGCTGTTTCACTCTAGCTGAGCCAAATTCATATTCAAAAGAAAATATATCCGTTATGTGGCAAAATGGGTAAAATTACGTTTTAAATGCCAAGCTACTTAAATATAAAGATGTTTGCTTTGATTTTTTTATTTGAAGAATACACGTCAGTGTCACATATAGATATTAAAAAGCCATTTAAAACACTCTCATCAACCATTATTAGTTATAGTTATAGCTAATTATGCCATTGGCATTCATATCTGAAGTTAATTTTACTTCTATAAATCAGTGTTTCCACTAGGAAATTGGTCTTGGGGTGGGGGTTTAATTCTTGCTGTAATACGTATATAAAAGTAATTATTGATAAGGTAACCATACTGTGGCTTCACCTGTTGCATTTTCTTTTAAAGAAAGAAAAAGTAGCTTGCAAAGCTGTCACATTGGTGCTACGTGATTAAAAAAAAGCAGAGTTTTCATCGCGCATCTAATCATACACACACGCACGCACACACACGTGTCTTTCTATCTTTGTGAGGACCACACAGCGCTCAGCCTTGCTCTGCGCCATCTTTTTTCCCCCAAGTTTGGCGAGAAGTCGATATGGAGGGGCGCAAACATAGCTCTCGACTTGATTTGGCCTTATTTAAATAAAAATGACTACATGCCGTGAAATCTTGGAGGGGCTGGCCGTCTCGTTGGCGCGGGGGGGCTTGAATAATGTAAAGAGAAACACTGTACATGTTCTCAAGACCCCCTTGGTTAGGGTCCATCCCAGCCCAAGGAACCACTGGCATGTATTGATAAAACTTTGTTTTACTCCAAAACTAAGGGAAACTTGTTTAGATTTTTGTTTTATTTAGTAAAACATGTGCCAGCTGTTAAATGTAGAGTTGAATAGTATGCACAACATTTTCTTCTATTCAGAGATCCACATACCATTGAAATTACATCCATAATGTTAAAATTTTGTATCTAGTTTCTACCTATTAACCATAACACTTTTGCA